TGTAACTGGCAAATGTACTAATTGGAATTGTCTGTAAACACGACATGAAGTGTCTGGTTACATACAACAGCTACTGAAACAAGTTAATCAGCTAAGTAAATCTATTCAATCGAGATACTTATTTTTATGTTGAAGCGGTTGAATTGATTGAATTGGCTGAATGAGTTGAATAAGTTATAATTGATGTTCTGTTTGAATAACTTATATTTGATGTTTTGGTTGAAGTGGTTGAATTGACTGAATTATGAAAAAATTAAAGTCTTTTTTTTGAATAAATTTTATTATTAAAACAAAGAAATAATTATATGAAAAAATAGCTGAAATTACATTCCAAAATAACTTTAATCAATACATGAATTTCACAAAGTATATTTTTTCACAAATCCTAACTCAACCGCTTCAACCAGAACATCAATTATAACTTATTTAACCAGAACATCAATTGCAACATATTCAACCATTTTAGTCAATTCAACCACTTTAACATGAAATTAAAAATCTCGTTTAAATAAACTCACTTGACAGATTAACTTGTTTCGGTGACTATTGTTTGTAACCAGACATTTCATGTTGCGTTCACAGACAATTCCAATTAGCACATTTGTCTGTTCCAGTGGCTATTGCCTGTGATCGGACATTTCATGTTTGGTTCACAGTAAATCCACTTAATCGTAGCGCTGATGATAACATTAAGAAAATGAAGTAAAATTCTAGAAAGATAAAATCAAAAAAAAAACTAATTGATGGAATTCCACATTTGCTGCTTAATTGCAATAAAATGGTTGAACCCTAAGACAGATCTTGAAATAGTTTGGCATTTAATTAAGAGCAAAACGTAACATCTTGAAGTGTAGTAACTATCTAATTATCATTTGCACCAGTCTGTGCACAAAGACGGCTACAAATAGTTCTCAAGAGAATGAATATGCATGCTACATGCATTAAACCGAATTACAAATGAAAAGAGAAATGTCTCTAACATCTCATGTGCTAAGTGAAATTTTCTGTAAACCAGACATGAAATGTCTGTCCACAGGCAATAGCCACTGGAACATGCAAATGTGCTAATTGAAATTGTTTGTGAACGCAACATGAAGTGTCTGGTTACAAACAAAAGATACATATTTACAATGTCTTTGATTCTTAAGTGAAAAACAAGCATATTTACAAACAAAGTGTTCCATTACCAAGAACAAACATTATTATTTAGAACCCAAATGTCATATACCCTCCAACATCTCAAATCTCAATGCTAGCTAATCTAAAAAAACAAGTATTATCATTTACAACCCAAATATCAACACATTCCAATGTCGACTAATCTAAGAGAAACTAATTTGAGCTCCACCTATAACTAAATTAGTTGGCATTCTTCAAAAGACCATCATCTTCAAAAGACCATCATGTTCCCTTCGCCATGCCTTGTCAATTTCAAGGACCCAGAAGTCTGTCAAACTTGTTGATCCTATGGCTGCAAAAGTCATATGAGATATAGAAATAGCTACATAAAGATAATGATTAATAACGAAGTATTCAGAGCATCATATTTCACAAGAATGACACTTAGTCTTATTATTCTATAAAAACAAAAAATCACTATACAACCTCACAATAAAAAAACAGTCAAATAATACGAAACAAACAGCCTTTCAATTTATCAAAGTCTACCACATAGTCTTATTATTCTAGTATACGGAGTAAGAAGGATAAACAAAATGAGCCGATTAATGTGGCCAAGTGAGGTCCTAATAAAAAACAAAAGTTGCTCTACCACATACTTATGACTATTCTCAAATTAAAATTTCAAATAATCAAATAGTCTTATCATTCAAAAACTAGAGTGCATTTTTATGGAATAAAAAAGAGTCAATTATTTAAGGTAAGTAAAAAAGAAGGTTCTCTCAGTCTTGCATTTCAAGAGAAAATAGAATCTAAAATTCATTAAACAACAAGTTGCATTAACAAATTTAAAAAAGGAGAACAAATTACTGACTTTGAACAAAAACTTCATTGAGTCATTTCGACAAACACGTTATGAACAAAAACAAACTAGAGTATTTACACTAAAATTGCAATAATTAACTCTTTAAATCTCTTAAAATAAAACAATATAATCAATTATTTAATGTTATAACATATATATAATATTCATGAAATCAAGAAAAGTATATAAAAAAACCCTAAAATGCACATGAGAAAAGGGAATAGATATTTACCTCAAGATTGATAGTTTGAGAAGAATGGTCTAGCCCAAAGACAAATTAAATGATGTATGATAGCATTTAAGTGGGAAGATGAATTGAAAATGAAGAAAAAGAAGGCAAGGAGAAAGGGGATTACGTGAGAGGAGTTGAGGAGAAAGACGCAGAACAGAGAGAAGAGAAGGAGATAAGAGGGAGAGAAAGGGGGTAAAAAAAAGACTGAAATGGTAAAAATTAAGAGGTATTTATAGTGTGTACATCTTGTGTACACTTCATGTACCCCTAGCATGGTTGTAATTGGAAAAGGGAACAGGCCGGCCAACAATAAACTCCGGGAATAAATCAGCAAGTACTCTTAGGGGGGTGTATTCAATATGGATTGTTGTGGACTTTTTTTAATCCATGGACTTTTAAAAAAGTTAATGGACTTTTAAATCCATAGACTTTTTTACGAATGAATTCTATGGACTTTTAAATCCATGGATAAGTTATTGACATTCAAAAAGTCCATAGACTTTTAAATGCGGACCGCCACTGCTGGTCGTCAAAATTTTCACCTAGATTGTCGCTACCGATATGCCTGTGACCTGTCCGCATCCATCACCGGAGTTCCCCGCTGTCGTCATCGGACTGACGCGTCACCAACAAAATGGCTTTGGTTGTGAAAGGGAACTAGGGACAATTAATTATATTAATTAATTAATTAAATTAGGGATGAATATGTAATATTTATTCTCATTTAAGAAAAACCAAACATTTAATCATACTTTAAGAATAATGCTATGTTTTAGTCCTACCGTGAGTGATTTCCTCTATATAATACGGAGTACGATAAGAAATAAATAAGTAAGTAAGTAAGTAAGTAAGTAAGTAAGTAAGTAAGTAAGTAAGTAAGTAAGTAAATAAATAAATAAATAAATAAATAAATAAATAAATAAATAAATAAATAAATAAATAAATAAATAAATAAATAAATAAATAAATAAATAAATAAATAAATAAATAAATAAATAAATAAATAAATAAATAAATAAATAAATAAATAAATAAATAAATAAATAAATAAATAAATAAATAAATGAAAAAATGTAATTCATATAGCAACACAAAGTTCTACAAAAATAAATGAAGCATAAGAATTCAAATTTATTTTTATTAAAAAAAACTCAAAGTTTCAAGAATGCTCGAGAATTTTGGCCATTTTATTAATGATTAAGAACATTAATCGTTACACAAGCGTTACACTCATTGCTACATGTGGTACAAGCATAAATGCAATCGAGCTTTTCTACTTAGTGATTGTATTCTTTTAACTTCTATCTTGTAAAAACTTGTATATGTATTTATGGTTATATATTTATTAATTTGAAATTATATTTTTATGTGTTAAGCGATTTAACGATGAAAGAAAGTGATAGTTAAAATATTTATTTTCTTAATGGTTAACTGATGACGTATCAGAATTGCATTGATGTAATACTATCGATTCTTATATCGGTTCTTCTATAAACTTCTAGAATCGAATCAATATAGGATTACTGAATCGAGGGGGGTGGACTGGGGACGGCAAGCTAAAGAAGAAGAAGAAGAATGGAAGGAGAGGGGTGGGCGAGCTGGGTTAAAGAAGAAAGATTGAAGAGGAAGGTGTGGCTTGGCTAAAGAAGAGTAGAGTTAGGGGAGGGGGGGGAGTAGGCTTGGCCTGAGGCCGGTCTGACTGGCCCGAGACCCGACCCGGCCCGCCACTGTGCGGGTCCGACCCGGCCCGTTGGATTTGTATCGGTACCGGGTCTAGGCCCGACCCGGGGGATTAATTGGGGCGGTTCCGGAACTGCATATTTGAGGACCAGCCCGGCCGGTCCGGGCCCGGTCCGGGCCTTATTTGTTTTCTTTTTTTTTTTGGGGGGGGGGGGGGGGTTGGCCCTATGGTAGGTAGGCTGGGTGTTTTGGAGGGGTTGGGGGGTGAGGGTTGGAATATATAAGAAAACCGAAAAAAATGAACCAGCCCGGCCCAACTCGGAACTGGCCCGGCCCGATACCAGTAGACTCCCAGGCTGGTCCCGGGCCTTACCCAAAAAATTCCAAGCCCGGCCGGGCCCGACTCGGAACAGAAACCGGGTCTGGCCCGGTCCATCCCTAGGAGGGAGGGGAGGAATGGGGTGGGACGAGATGAAGAACCGATATAAGAAAAGTCCACGGAAATCTTTGGTGAGGAGAAGAGACAATTGCATAGAATTTTTGCACTAAAAATGAGTTAAAAGTCCACGAGAATCCATGATTTTAGAAGTCAATAAGAATGAACGGAAATTTGAATACGCCTAGACTTTTATAGACTTTTAAAAGTCCACATTGAATACACCTAGACTTTTGTGGACTTTTAAAAGTCCACATTGAATACACCTAAACTTTTAAAATCCATGGACTTTTAAAATTTTGACACTAAATCCTAATACAATACACCCCCCTTAGTCTCTTATTTTGGAACTCACATGGAGCAAACTAGCAAAGAGCCTGTTTGCGAAGGAAAAGTAATGACTGCTACAAACTGACCAACATGGTTTCTAAATACTGCTGTGCCCATCGCTGTAGCTTGGTTTGTTATAGCTTCTACAATTTGCTTCATGTAGGGAAAGGATGGTTTATTTAAAAGATATAAATAGTATGATCGTCTGGTAGTTATAAATCTTTTTTAACTAGTATGATCGTCTAAGTTGACTATTTCTCAGTGTATTTCCAATGACATTAAAAGAAGAGCAAGAAATAAGAAATATAATAATAACAATAATGTGCTTATAGCAACAACATGGTGACCGATAATGTTCTACAATATCCATTAAATGATATAAACAAATATAAATATCTTAAGAATGGGGACAAATTAAGTATGAGGACAAAAGCGTAATTCAACTCTGTTGTAAATAACTGAATAAGTTTCAATTCCCAAATGGAGGTAGCCATCTGCTTCTCATAACAAAAACATTGGAAGGTAGAAAGGGAAATTTCTAATGAAGACTTCAAGGAGAAAAAAACAGTCGTCCTAAAGCTACAAAATTTCTATCGGGACATTGTCCTGCAATGGGAGGTGACTAACGATTCTTCTTTGCCTTGGCCAACTTTTTCTTTTTCTTCTTCACAGCTTTAGGCACTTTATGTTTACGAGCTTCCCGCTTTTCTTCCTTAACCTTCTTCTTGTTCTCCTTCCTAGCAGTTCTCTTTTCCATTGCTGTAGGTTTATTATTATCACCATCGTATGATGATAAACTATCCTCTTCATCAGAATCACCATCGGTTTCATCATCATCAGTTTCAGCCTCTTCTAGATTATTACTGTTATCATCATCCAGTAATTTGGTACCAGAGGCTGCTTGTGTTGATCTCTCCACCAAGTGGTGCTTTTCTACTGCAGAGATGGCTTGCTTAAGCCCTGTTATGGTTTTGTAGTACAAATCCCCAGTGTCCTCTCCGCTGGCAATGCGTTGCACATCAGCCTCTGCGTTTTTCACACTGTCTAGTCTTTTAGGAATGAATGACTGCAACAGAACAATAATAGATGTGGGGTTTAATATTCAAAAAGAGAAAAAGCCAAAAAGGTCAGGTAGCTGCTAGTATAGTTGCTCGGTTTAACAAATACTCGAATCCGGCTCGTCATAATACCTGGGAAAGTATTTTTAGCTTATCAGCCAATTTTAGTCAGCTTTTTTACCAACCATTCATTTTCTAATTACTCATGCACTGTATGGATACTTTCTGGCTGAATTGGAAGAAAAAGACCATGATAAATCCTTTCCATGTATACTTCTCTTATACTTTATTAGTAGAATATATTTCAAATGTAATGTTTTTTATAATCAAGAGAACTCAGCTATTTCAAGGTAAATTCAACAGATTAGTCGGTGTGAGTGTTACCAAATGAGCTCTATATCCAATAACTGATGCTAACATAGAGTTTTATTCCTCCCGGCTCACTAGAGAAACATGACTTTATAGATAAGGAAACACATTCCTGAACACTAAAATATTGAAACTGTCCCAAAGCGTCTTATTTTCTATGGAAACCATCACTATGCGTATGTAATAATCACACTTTCTAATATGCGTATGAAACCTGAATGAACACGGAGTCTGCAATTTCATCCTCTGCTGTCACTTCACCTCTAGCCAAAATCTTCTGTTGAACCTGAAACATTTTATGAAGAAGCACAGCATAACAAGGATTGCTAGAGGATGAAAGTTTGATTTATATGATAAAATAGAAACCATGTATTATAGTGTTATACCTCTTCTAAGTAAGCATCTACATTATCATCATCAATGGTAGGATCAACTATGAAATCAAACAATTCTCTAATCGTCATGACACCTACACCATGTTTTCTGAAGAAATCCTGCATAGCACCGCCAGATCTTGATAAACTGTAATATATATCACCAATTGCAGTATACATACAAACTCATGAAGATAGTTAGCATAATAACTGCAATAGCTGAAGGGAAGGTTAACTCACAGACACATGAACACAATCTTCCCTGAGGAAATCAAGTGAGTGGGGATGATCAAGATCAACTGATTGGGAAACATCTATTATATACAAGTGACCCTGCAACATAAGGGAAATATGCAGACAAGTGCTAAAAAAGCAGATTTTTTTAATTTAAGGGAGGAATACGGTATGAAGCTCACCTCATAATAGAGTATGTTATATTCGCTCAGGTCGCCATGCACTAATTTGCAGTTCTGATACAGTCTTCTCATTACCATAATTATCTGGATGAAATGCCAAAAAGCTACTTTTGATGTCATAACAATATGGTCACCGATTGATAACATCAAAAGTAATTTTAGATAAAGCTGTAAGATATGGCAGCCTTCCTCAATAAAACACCAATCTATGAGTATATAGTTGATTATATCTAAGTTTAGGATTAGCTCCATTGAGCTATTTTTTATTTAACTGGAAAACTAGATTGAAACTTTCAAACTTTTATAGATATCTAAAAATCTGAGTGTACTTATCATATCTAAGCTTAGAATTATATTTTAATCCCATTTTATGTAATTAGAAAAATAAATTCATTGCTACACCTATAATATACCCTCTCTGTTCCAAAATAACCGTCTCACTTTCTTTTTCGGCTTGTTTCAAATTAATTGTCACATTTCCTTTTTGGAAAAGAATCTACCCCAAAAGTAGCAACCGTACACTTAAATAAAGTATACAGTACTTACTACATTACCAAAAACCTGCAATTTATAAAGTGTACACTACGTACACCCACAACACCATCTTAAGCCTACGTGAGAAGGGAGTAGAATATATTTTTTAAGCCAACTATAGGTGTTTAATTGTAAATGATTCAGTTCATTTCATGTAGGATATAAATGGTAAAGAACTTAGTTTTAAAAAGGCGCGAGGCGGCATGAGGGGTTTTAGTTGAATTTAGCTGAGGCACAAGGCAAAGGCTCACGCCTCATGGATAACCATATATCTAAACTATGTTTAAGCTACTCTATACCTAGGGATGGCAACGGGCGGGGTTCACTCCCCCATCCCCTGCCCCCCATGTCTAAAAAGTTCCCCCATCCCCACCCCATTCCCGTCACGCCCAGACCCGCCCTGTCCCGTTGTCACCCACAGGTGCTCCAGGTGCCTCCATATAGATTTTAATTATCCTATTTGCATAATTTTCAATCCATTTTATGGATATATAAATATATGTAGCACTAAAAGAGTTAAACTAGATAACATTGTGTTGGATAAAAGATAATACCACCATTCCACCAATTTTTAATAATTTTTCAATTTAAATAAGTTCTTTGAAAATAATAAAACTAAAAATACAAGTAAACATATTACCATCATGTATGTCGTTCAAAATTTCTCATCAATTATAATAAAATTAATTACTCCCTCCGTCCTATTTAAAGATTTCCGTCCACTATTCTCCGGTCAACGTGAATTGTTCTTAATCTTTTATTTTATATATCCAACATTTATCAAATTTAATTTTTCTTGATCAGGTATTATAAAACTTTTAATTTAGTTTCTAAATATGTAAATTTTATTTACTAAAAATAATCTTATTAATGATAGGGATTAGTTAACTTTATAGTCAGTCAAACATCGTAAACCGCATGGGAACCTTTAAGTGGGACAGAGGGAGTATATATCTATACATATATGTGTGTGTGTGTTCTTTTTACTCTGTTCCTCACTTTTAAAACTCATACTACCTTCGTCCCTTAAAACTTTGCCTATCTTTTCTTTTAAAATTTTGCCACTTTCCCTTTTTAATAAATTATTTTGTGGTTCCTGCTATTTCTATCTCATGTGCACAAACCTCAAACACACAGTTTTTACTTTATTATTCTCTGTGCCGGTCAAACTTGACAAAGGTTTAAGGGACAAAGGTAGTATATCATTTGTGATAAATTTTTTTAGTCATTACTTATTATTATTCTGATATAATATGTACGTGGTATTAGTTCATTAATCATGACTAATACACATGCATGTATGTATATCTATATGTATATGTATGTGTTTTTTATGCACTACATATAATTTAATTAAATATGTTTATACATTATTAGTGTGTGTGTGTGTTTGAGTAGATTTTGGATCAAATAAAAAGTCTCCTTCCCATGGAAAGTAGGAATAAATCCGGTGCATCGAATCTAGATCTAATGGCTCTAAATATATCAAAAATGTATTAAAATGGATAAAACATACAGTGGCATTTTTGTAAATAAGTCAAAGTTTTTCTTCTTTGCAAAAAGTGAACTTTCTGTGTGCAATAGTGTACCCTGGACGAGAAAAAGTGGATGACGAAAATCATCTAAGTACAATAGTGCACTTCAGATAACCACAAGTGAAGACGTCTCGCGAGTGTAGTAATCCCCATCCCCGCCACATATTTTAGCGGGGTATAAATATCTCACCCATTCTCGTCCCTGCCCCAAGATCTGCCCCATCCTTCCCCAGTGGGGCGGTTCCCCACGGGTCTGTGAACCCATTGCCATCCTTATCTATACCCTCTAACTAAAAGTAAATATAATTTTTTTTTTTTGAAAACCGTAAAATTACTTAAATACCATAAATTATAGAACAAGCTTAATAGAGACCAAAAAGAAAAGAAAAAAACAAAACAAAATGTTTCAGCATAACAAACAATCTGCCCCTAAACATCAAACGCTAAAAAGTTATAAGTAAATACTCCGTATGAATTATATATATAAACCGAGCAAGTAACATATAAAAATATAAAAGTTTGAAACTTGGAGTCTGTTAAAAAGAGGTCTAGAACCATAATGATGGACACCAGCAAAAAGGCCTCACTTTGAATTTTTAAACCTATCAGTGGGGGCAAAAAAGAAGGGGAGGACAAAGAGGCATGGAGAGCATATGGAAATACAAAGAGATTAAGAGAAGAAAAGATCATGATAAGAAGATAAGAAAGAAAGGGAAGCATATGAAGAAGAAGATGACGTGAAGGAAAAAACTTACTAGTTACGGAGTATATGATATTAGTGACTTTGCATAAAGAAGAAAGGGGCGGTTAGATATGTGATATTATCATATTAAAGGAGAGTTGGGGGTTCTGATGGAGTCTGAGGACTTAGGAAGTACACGCCTAACATATAACCTACATGTGAAAATTCTGGGTCCAGGCATATGAGTCGGCAAAACTCACACAAGTACTCAGCAAAAACCTAGAAGCGCAAAAGGCAACTGCCTCTTGAAGCACAAAAAGTGGCTGGAAGTGAGGGTCTAAACGCGCTTACAGGAACCTGGCAACCTGCTGTGCCCAGGATTCTTGTTGTAATTTTTTCAGCACCTGGGTGCGCTCTGCGCCTAGTCGCACCTCAAGACCGCTTTTTAAAACTAAGCTAAAGAATCCTCAGAAATAGCATGACCACGGTTCGCAAGAGGCATAAAAAAATTCTGTTGATATTAAGACTGAAGCTCTTATTTAACACACGTCTGAAAGGATATACTATGCGAAGTTGGGATATGTATCATTTTTACAACTATAAGGAATAATGGTAGACTAATATGCATGTAAAGAGTACAAAACAAACCTCAACATAACCTTCACGCAACCTGTCAAGCGGTAAAGCTGCATCCTTAAGTCTAGGTGCAGCCCAACCTCCTTTACCTGCAGAAAGGTTTATACAAATCAACAGAGGATATATAAAGTATTAAGCTGCAAGGAATTGTAGAAGTTTAAAAAACCTTGAACATGAAACACTATTTCTCTCTTTTGCGCACCATTTTTTTTTCTTTTTAAATTTCTCTCTTTTTATCAGAAATTTTTAACTAGACCAAATCCTCTGATTGTTAAGTCAAACAGGTTCATTGGATAAAAGAATAGAACCCCTAATTTTGAGTGTGAAATTGTGAATCACACTGATGACGTGAAAAGGTTTCTCCAGAGTAAGCTTATCAAAATATTGTTCCCGTTGAAAGCAGGGGCGGAGCCAGAACACTGGGCCGGACTGGGCCGGTACAAAGAATATTTTTGGAAAAAAATTTACACTGAATTTTTTACCTTAAAAATTTAGACATTTTTAAAATTTGGGCTGGGCCATGGCCAGGGATGACCACCCCCTGTCTACGCCCATGGTTGAAAGCTACACTGTCCAAAGGAAAGGTTCGATCAAATATAGGGTATTTAGTTGGCAGCACCCTGAGTCAGTACTGTTTGAGACAACTTGAGCCAAAAAGAATTTAATCTAGAAGTCACTGTTATCAGGAAACCGTAACTACCATTTTTTTGAAGCCCTTCTTTTCTGCTTAGAAGATCAATGAATAACTTCATTGAAATTATAGCATGTTGATTTTAATATTTTGAGCGAGAACCAATGGCAGAGGCATGTTAAAGATCCTTTCACACAGAATCATGTCATATATAAACTAGAAGTCAGCAGAGCTTCAGCTAATCTGTAACTTGGTATTATCCGTATTATATTCACATATCACTGGAGAGTAAATTCTTGTCCATTGTTGGTTCATTTTGAAATTAACTTCTCGTATGCCAAAGAGGCAATTCTTGCACCTCTCCTTGGATACTGTTTCTTATTCAGTTAACTTTTACAACTTTGATTTTTTTAATGATGTGAGCATTTTTGAATTGCATATATTACACATTGTACCTATGAATTCCATAACCAGCACATGCAACTTCAGAATAATGGGAGTTGGGCACCTTATTCCAGCTGCTTTAAGCCTACAGTTGCAGAAGAGCTTTTAGTATACGAGTCATGGAAGGAAATATAAGGACCTAAAACTGATTAAAAGGAATGACCCTTTTGTACTAACAGTAGTACAGCTATACCAACCACCATGGCCTATAACTAGCAGCTAGCAGCTTGTGGGCTGGTAACTTGAAAAACATCAATTAGTTATTAAGGAAAGAAGCCAGAAACAGAACATCAATATAAAACATTAAGGGCAAATGAGATCAAGAGAGCATCCTAAAACAGGAGAAAGCGGTTAGACTTCAGTTTCTAAAGCATAGAATAGTATTCTATCTTCACGGTTCTTACCACAATGACTCACACCAACACATGCTCCCTGGGGAAAATGCGCAAACATACAAATACAGACACAAAGGTGTGTGTGTGTGAAATAAGAGTGATTGGGCGGGACTACGGGAGAAGCCATCAAAGTTTTGGCTAGCAGAGTGAATCCAAATATAGCTCAGAAGCACACAGGTTATGGATTAGATGACTTAGATCCCCAGCAGGCCTCAAGTGCACCACTCTTAGGGATATTTCTTGATATTCATACTTTGTCAGGACTCTACTCCCCTGTAGGGGCTCCCTAAGGGCTAAGACCCTAAGTGTGGAGCATAGTACTAGTAGACTTGGAGGGTGAGAGATTAACTAGGGATCTTAGGCTGCATTGTCCCTTGACCATTAATGTGTATGTAACCTATCATAACTAACATGTTAAGTTACCAAACGTAATAATTAAAATAGTGAGGAAAGGGAGAGGGTGATATAAATGGAATTAATAAGACAAGTAATTACTAGATATACGAGGTAAACACAAACATTTGCTTACCTCATTAGATTTCTCATTTCTTTCTCAGCCCATGTTTTAACCATTTTCCTGGGATTGTGCTTACAATATCCATATCTAAACCGATAGTCGCCCTGAACATATCGATCTCGATCCCTGGAAGAGTGGCATAAATAAGTAAAATGGCTGGTTTATATTTATAATTTAAGAAAGTTGATAAAACACAATACAAATATAGAATATAACTATAACCTAGGTTATGAAATCAAATGAAATCAATGTTTGAAATTGCGCAATAGAATCGCGCCTCAAGGCGCGCCTCATCGATTTTCAGGCCAGTTGCGATTAAAGGCGAAACTTATTTTACGCCATAAGAAAGCCTACGCCTTTTAGGCAGAGGCGTACGATATAAGGCGTGCGATACAAATCGTAAGAAGGCTTACGCAATAATAACTCTGCAGATTGCATAAAACAGATGGGCTCAGACGTATTCCAAACCCAATTAATTAATTTAATACTCAGCAAAATACTTATCTTTCCTTCTAATTAGCATGCGGCAGTCCACCTCTCCCTCTCTGTACTTCCTCTGTCGATTATTAATTTTTTTCAACAGCTCTTTTATGAGCGTTGCACATGTCCTTCTATCCCTCATCGCTCTTTCTTGTTCTCATTTACGTCCGCGTGTCCCTTGGTGTGCATCGGCAAGCATAAGTTGGGAGAAGAGATTATATACAAATTAAAATACTTTAGGTGGGTTTCTGAAGTATCCTTCTAGACTTCTGATACACCGCAGGTATTAGATTATTCAATATCCTTTTGGTGTCTCTTGAGAAGATTAATATATTATTTAGAGTATCCATATGTATTACTTTTAGTCGATTCCAGCTAGATTCCACTTTTTAATTATTTATTACATTTAATGGAGTTTTACTTTTCATATAACTTCAATTTTTGTTTCAAGTACAATCGTATATATATTTTAATTTGGATTATATTGATATATTGAATAATGTTTAAATATTACCAATAGCAATTCACTCTTACATTCATCAATAAAAAAAACATGGATTAGAATAAAGTCAATAAACATATGATGTCATTTTGAACTCACGATTTTCCATTATTTTATGACATTGTTGTTAGATTAGTAAATAAATGTGTTATTTTGATTGAATTTTCATTTCTTATTAGTTATAAATTTTAATTTAATTTTTTCCCTATGTATTAAGATTTACGCCTTAGCCTTACGCCTCAATGCGCAATGAGGCTTACGCAATACGCCTTGAGAAAAAAACGCCTCAACTCCGCAATGCGCAATTTCGAACATTGAATGAAATATGTGATTAATAGAAGTAAACGGTGAACCGAATGCTTAGAACAATGTCATACTTAAATACAAGAATTGAAGTCTTGTAAATTTTGATAGCAAGTTCCTGCCCATCAGATTTTGTAGCATGATAAACATTGGCCTGTTTGAAAGAGCGGGTAGCATAAACTCACGTGAACAACTTAATGGAATATGTAAAAAACCAAGAGAACTGCAGGCAAAAGCCTCCTGACATACCTCTTTACCAGTTGAAATGCAGCCATTGATATCATTAAAAAAGCCACGATTCAACATTTTAAACAAAACCATTCGTGTTCTAGGGTCAAGTGCCTGTAAAAGCAAAAGAAACATAGTAATAAGCCTGGTGATCTACAAGACTATAACAATATATAGTCACTAAGCGAGAGACTCCTCCTATTGATGTAAATGCTCAAAAGGTTTTTACGTACACATATTACAGGGATCGTGATATGAAGCGGGAAGAGCATGGGGCGGGACCGGGCTCGGTCCCACTTCCGTGAGCCGGTCACGGGCTGTCCTTATAGTTATTTATTATTTTTAAATTAATGTTATGTTTTGTTTTTGGCCTTTTATTAGTAGAGTACTTAGTAGAGTTAGTATGGGCCTAATTAGGATTTAATTAATTTGGGCTTGATTAGCGTTGCTTGTAGAAGGCTATTTATACCCCTCGCCGGGGTTCATTCTCGTTATCTTGGAATAAAATTGGTTTTAACCTTTTGGCTCTGGGCAACGGTATTTTTATCGTTGATTATCGGGCAACGGTTCACCCCGTTGATTTCATTTTTCTGTTCTTATCTATTGGTCTGACCTGCCGGATCCCGTCCCGCCAAGATGACAAGATCTCAGAGTGATCGATTGATGGAATTGGAGAACGAACAAGGCCGAACGAGAGAGGAGGTGGCTTGACTAGGGGCTGAGCAAACCCGGATGAACCAGACGCTCGAGGACCACGGTGCGAAGCTAGCAGAGATCGCTGCCTCGCTGGCCGCGTTGACTCAGGCGCTGGTGCCGCCTGCTTCGTCGGACGCCGCACTGGGTGGAGTCGACAGTGTTTCGTCGGTCGCCGCAGTGGGTGGAGTCTGCAGTGCCGCGATGATGATGCCGCGTGTTGACAGGTGCTGCGCGACCCAGGTGTGTTGCGCGACCCAGTTCCTTTGTTACTGCATGCGTTTGACGGAATAGACCCAATCGGGTGGATGGCTAGGGCTGAACAACAGTTCGAAATTAATCAAACCCTACATGAGAGGAAAGTGGCAGCAGCTACGGTAGCCATGGAAGGGGCTGCCCTGTACTGGTTGACCTGGCTGAAGGCACGAAAACCGGGCCTGTCTTGGGAGGAATTCACAGATGCACTGGTGGCCCGTTTTGATTCGCGGTTCAAGGGCAACCGATTTGAACGGCTGTCCGGGGCCAAACAGTTGGGGACCATAGAAGAATATAATAACTTTTTTGTGCAGTTGGCCAGTGAGGTTCCTGGGTTGTCCAAGGATCATTACTTGGGCTATTACATGAGTGGGCTTTAGGAAGCAATCCGAAGCTCACTGCGATTACTTCGGCCGAACAACCTGGAGATAGCTATGGAATTAGCTCGCGAAGTGGAGCATAATCTGTCCGTCCAAAGTGGAGAAAGTGGCAGCCTGAATTATCATTCTTCAGGTGTACGTTCTAGCAGCCTTTCAATGGCAAACACAGGTTTCCGTTGACTGCCATTGGTGGAAGCTTACAGGGTTCGGAGGGCAGCTTTGCAAAAGATAGTGGGCAGCCTCCGGGGATGAAGTTAGGGCTGTCTGGGCAGCCTATGACACGCTCTCAATTCACTCGACTTCCGCCGAAAGAGTTTGCAGAACTGCGGGCGACAGGATTATGCTTTAAGTGCAAGAAACCATTTACACCAAGTCACCAACACATGATTGTCCCTTTAAGCAGCTGTGGGTAATGATAGCTGAGGAGGATGAAGAGTTGGACCTCAAGCAGCATGAATTCTGTGAAATAACCGGCCAGGAAAGGGTTCCGGAAAGAGAAGAAGGATATTTTCCAGTCTATACTATGTCTGGAAATTTCAGTCCCCGATCCACGAGTTTTCAACCTTGAGGACAAGGTTATTTTAAGGGGGATGGATTGATATGAAGCGGGAAGAGCATGGGACGGGACCGGGCTTGGGCCCACTTCCGTGGGCCGGTCACGGGCTGTCCTTATAGTTATTTATTATTTTTAAATTATGTTATGTTTTGTTTTTGGCCTTTTATTAGTAGAGTTAGTATGGGCCTAATTAGGATTTAATTAATTTGGGCTTGATTAGGGTTGCTTGTAGAAGGCTATTTATACCCCTCGCCAGGGTTCATTCTTGTTATCTTGGAATAAAATTGGTTTTAGCCTTTTGGCTCTGGGCAACGGTATTTTTATCGTTGATTATCGGGCAACGGTTCACCCTGTTGATTTTATTTTTCTGTTCTTATCAGATCGAGATCGATATGTTCAAAAACACTGACTTTTTGTATCTAAAAAACAAAAATCTAGCATCTACAATTTATAATGGAGAAGGACACAGAACAGCTTTAGCAAGAGCTATATCTAGATTGTATAGATTCTCTATTGCCTCTTAAACATCACACACAAACAGCTGCATTTCAAAGAAAGTTGAGGAGATGCAAAAACTGAAGAGGAAGATTGAAGGTCAAAAAAGAGAAGTGTCTGATTTCACTATAACTGAAGGAGACATAAATGATAATTAAGCGCATATAAAAAAAATGACTGGAATGTAGGTGTGAATAATGAAGCTTCAATCTTGTAACAGATGAACTGAACAAACAGCAATATTCTTCATTTGAAAGGGAAAGTGTCAAACTTCTATTAGCAATCATAGTGATACACTGATACCAGATGCTACCAATCTTAAACAGTAGTGCTAGTGTTCTTGAGAATGACAGTAACCTCTTGAACAAAGAAATGAAGTATATAAAAACCAGAGTCCTTATTAAATTCCAAAAAAAACACTCCATCTTGTGCTTGTGATTATGTACTACAATGTTTTGATTCACATATTTATCAAGAGTTCAAGGCACACCCAAGGAGTGGCAAAGCAATCACATATTTTCAGTCCTGCACGACTTATCTTAAGCACTTCAGGTATTCACATGCAGATGTAGTAGCGTAACTAAGTAATCAAGAAAAGAGACACAAACGGTGAGCTTACAAACCATGAAACCAAGTTATCAGGGAAACTTATCTTTAAGATCACATAGTCATTAATAACTGTGTAATATTTTAAAGATTTAAGCATCACCATTAACTAGGTATTTAGGTACATGTACATTACCTGTTCAACAGTTGCTCGGTCTGCTTTGTCAGTGGTTTTAGTTTTACCGATTGCCATCCCGCGGACACTCTCACGAATTTCAGTTTTCACAGAGTTAGACATACTGAAATTGATCCTTCCCTCCCATTCCTGTGAAAAACGGAAATCAATCACGCTTCATTTTTCATAATAATGCATTCAAATTCTTACGCACTAGTTTACCCATTGAACAAAGCAGCTAAGCTTTCAGACACTACCATTCCCATGATATGAAACAGTATACGTTATAGCATATTACTTGTTTGAAGGGCATACATAATTATCACAAATTCACAATTCTTAGCAATAATACATTTACAAGTCAACTTTCATACCTTTATTACATAAGCTTTCAACTTTAACTTCACTTAGTTTTACATAGTGACCAAATTTACTAGGCAGAACATGCTTCCTTTTCTAAATAATCCTTTACACTTTTCAATCGGACTCACTTGCTCCATTAAACAAGATCTTACAATGATTTGATTTTTGCTGCAATTGTGGATGATCTTCATCACAATTCAAAGTTGTGACTTGTGAGTAATGTTTGTTTTAAACCTCAGTGTTATGCTAAAGTTATATATTGTTCATGAAGTATACTTGCAGTTTTGTATTGATATCAAAGCAAACACTCACAATTTTGAGGGTACACCAAGGTTGGTGAACCTGCCAAACTATGCTAAACATGAGAGAAAGATATACCTAGATAAGTACTTTTGAAAATGTCAAAAAAATGCATATTTTGAAAGGGCAATTGATTAGAAAAAAGTGTATATAGTCCACGCAGGTTTTCTTATGTGACCTACAAAGCTGAAATAATAGCCATATGATTTGTCCTACAATATGACAATACACATAAGAAACTCCACGTGAAATGGAAGATAAAATGAATTCTTTTTTATGATTTCCTTGGTGATTTCAACTCTAAATGTAAATTCACATATGTAGAAGTCACAATGCATTCTTTTAAGGCTTTCGCATGCTAATTACACTCAAAATAAGAAAATGAAGCTAAAATATGACTATATGCCCGTAGTAACAACCAATTCAATACGGGTAGTCACAACCAATTTAATATACGAACATTCCTAATGATTAAATGGAGTTGTACCAAACCAATGTTTAATACTCCGTATTCTTTAACAAACCAAATTCATTTAGAAGTCAAAATGCATTCTTTTAAGGCTTTCGCTTGCAAATTAAACTCAAAATAAGGAAATGAAGATAAAATATGACTATAAGTGGGTAGTCAAAACCAATTCAATATGCGAACATTCCTAATGATAAAATGGAGTTGAAGCAAAACCGATTTGTTTAATACTCCACATTCTTTAGCCAACCAAATTCACACATCGAAATCCTTTTCTCTTGCTAAGAAAATTTCAATCTACAACGAAGATGGTAATTACCCACCTCTAAAGGAGAAGCTTTTATATGATTGGAAAGCTTCTGACTACGATTGGAGAGGGGTTGAAGGGTAGAATTGTTAGGTCGCGACTTTAGTCCTCCGTGAGCATTGGGTCTCATGCCACTGGATTGCAAAGTAAACCCTGCGCCAACTCCACCTAGACCACCTTCGGAACCATCCCTAGCGTCCAAGTAGTCTAAGGCACCACCAATTTCTTCGTCCGAGGAGCACCACTGTTCGTCCTCTTCTTCTTCATCGACCTCCCCCTCTGAACATTCGAACTCGGCAATTGCTTTGTGTTCGGGTTCGACCATTGAGATTGAATCCGACATACCTTAGCAGAACCGGAGGTGCCTTTGACTCAGGAGGAACTTTTTCTGCAGTAGTTGTTGTCAGTGAACTGGAGGCGAAGCGGAAATTATTATCTTCTTCCACGGCTTGAGCTTCTTGTTGGGCTTAGCGCTTGTCACGTACGTAGTTCTGTTATGGATGGCCGTCGACGCTACAGTATGCGAAGTACTTCCTCGCGGGGTACTACCTTAATGGGCTTGTTGGATGACTTTGATCCCCAAATATGCAAGGGAAACTTTGACTAAAATCGAAAATAATACTATCTACGTTCTTAATAAATAAGTGCAACATCTCAAATTTTACATTATTCACATTTCTACTTTGAATACATTTTATTTATTAATGTATTAATATATATATATATATATAGGAAATCTTTCCGGAAAGGTATATCTTACCAGAGTCGCCGTGCGGCCTCCACGTTTTGAGGGCCTTCTAGGTGGAATTTTTCGATGAATTTTTTTGAGCATGTTCGTCATCAAGTCTAGTACATCCATACCAAATTTCAGCAAAAAATTCAATCGAGAAGGCAGCCAAACGATTTTTGGAAGATAACTGTGTTTTATATGTATATAAAGGGTGGAGTTATCTTCCAAAAATCATTTGACTGCCTTCCCGATTGAATTTTTTGCTAAAATTTGGTATGGATGTACTAGACTTGATGAAGAACATGCTCAAAAAAGTTCAGCGAAAAATTCCACCGGGAAGGCCCTCAAAACGTGGAGGCCGCACGGAGGTTCCGGTAAGGTATACCTTACCGGAAGAGTTCCCTATATATATATATATATATATATATATATATATCTTTGAAAAAATTACTTAATGTGTCTCATTGCAAATTTTCAAAATCTGATTTTTTTAATTTTTTTACTAATAGAGATTTATATATATTAATGGTCAAAGTTGTGTCTCGACAAATGTGAATGTTGACCGTTGCACTTATTTAAGAACGGTATGAGTTTTTTCACTTTTGAAAGTTCTTTAAAAAACAGACCAAGTAAAGCTTTCTTTCATAAACAGATTTCATACGTATAACTCCAGTTATGCGCATCTTTATTACTCTTCAAAAGTGCGCGCAGTTAGGTTGCCAAAAGAATGCACTCCTGCCACGTTAATAAGCAAAAGTGTTATCTCCAAAATTATTCAACTCTGGAAAATTGAGTTTTTTTCCGGATTAATGTTACTTAATTACGGAATTAATGTTGGGTTAAAACTATTTACCAATATACTGCTGGGCTTAACCCTGGTTGGGGAAAGTCGCCAAACGTTTGGCGACTCACTAATTCATACGGAGAAAATGCGTACAAGGGTGAAGGGAAGCAGTCCGCTAGGAGAGTAACACATATGTGAATAGGTGGAGCCAATTAAAAAGAAATCCTCTATTTTCTTTAAATGGCTATAACTTTCATATTTTTCTTCCAATTTTTTTAAAACATATACCAAATTTTATAACTTTTTGTGATCTTTCATATGACACCAATATGTAATATATAAAGTTTTAAAAAAATCTGAAGACCATATGGGGTGAAAAACTAATTGCAATTATGCACCGTTAATAAACTTAATTCTCAACCAGTTTAAACCAAAATTATGTATTCACCATTTCAATTCAATTTTTTAATATATTTACCCAATATAGTTTTTAGTTAAATTCTTGCACTTTTTAGTCTACATCAACTTTCAGCCAATTTTTTTTTATGAAAAACTTAATTGAACCAACTCTTAGCCAACTTATTCTTTTAGCCAACTTAATCTTGATATGTACCCAACGTTATTCTTTTAGCCAACTTTTAGTCTACATGCAAAATTCTGTTTATTTTTTAAAAAGTATTCTTTGTACCAGACATTATAAGCAGGGGCAGAGCCAGAACACTGGGCTGGTACAAAAAATATTTTAAAAAAAGTACACAGAATTTTTTACACTAAAAATGTAGACATTCTTAAAATTTGGGTTAGGCCAGGGTGAATACACATTTTTAAAAAATACACAGAATTTTGCATTGAAATGTTTTATATTTTGAGCTTAAAAATAGAGCGTAAAGAACCGTATGTGAAAGAATTCTCAGATTTTCGTAATTTTTTATGGCTAAAAGTTGATGTAGACTAAAAAGTGTAAGAATGTAATTAAAAACTATATTGGGTAAATATATTGAAAAATTGAATTGAAATGGTGAATACATAGTTCTGGTTTAAACTGGTTGAGAATTAAGTTTATTGACGGTGCATAATTGCAATTAGTTTTTCACCCCATATGGTCTTCAGATTTTTTTTAAAACTTTATATATTACATATTGGTGTCATATGAAAGATCACAAAAAGTTATAAAATTTGGTATATGTTTTAAAAAAATTGGAAGAAAAATATGAAAGTTATAGCCATTTAAAGAAAATAGAGGATTTCTTTTTAATTGGCTCCACCTATTCACATACGTGTTACTCTCCCAGCGGACTGCTTCCCTTCACCCTTGTACGCATTTTCTCCGTATGAATTAGAGAGTCGCCAAACGGTTTGGCGACTTATAAGTCGCAAAACGGTTTGGGGACTTATAAGTCGTCAAACGGTTTGGCGACTTTCCCCAACCAGGGTTAAGCCCAACAGTATATTTGTAAGTAGTTTTAACCCAACATTAATTCCGTAATTAATTAACATTAATCCGGAAAAAAACTCTGAAAAACTTAAACGAGAAAATAAATCTTATTAAAAAATAAAAAATAGATTAAAGAAAGAAAGTTTATAAATCTAATGAAATTTGAATCTTAAAAGTATATAGTATAAAAAACGAAATATTTTTCAAAAAGGGAAAATAAGAAAAGGAAAATAATCAATTTTGTAAAAGAATAAAAAGTTAAAAAATTAACTAAAATATTCTAAGAAAATAAATAAAAATCATAAAATTTAGAAAAGTATGACCAAAAGCAAGAAATTAAAATAAAAGTTATATGAATTATCAGAAAACATCAAAAAACTATAATAAAAAAAAGGGTTAACCGGTTTTCTTTAAAATCTCTCGGGAATACAAATTTCAAAATTTAAGATACAAAATGCATAAATTCGTTAAAACTAAAAACAATTGTAACAAAAAACCGGGAATATGAATTCTGAGAGTTGAAAAACACAAAAAAAAAAAAAACAAATTAATATGTAAAGTTTGAACACATCTAAAAATTCACAATTATTGTAAAAAGGAAAATAATGTAAGATTCTTTGAATTTTAAAAATCAGAGAAATAGATTAAATAAAAAAGACATGTAAAATCTAAAAACCCACAACCATAACAACAACATCTAAGCCTTAATCCCAAAACAAAAATCTAAGAACCCAGAACACATAAAGTATTGTTATTATATTATTATTAATTTATTTTGACTTTTGGTGCACATTGTTTCTTTGTGTTTCTCTTTGTTGATAATTTTAATTATTTTTGTTTTTATTGTTTCTTCATATTTCTTTTTGTTTATTCATAAATCCAATTTTATTATTCTAGGTGTTTTTGTATATAGATATATTTGATTTTTTTAATTCTAAATCACTAACAAATATAAAAGTCAATGTAAAAGGAAATCAAAAATGAAAATCATTAATAAAGAACAATAAGCAACAAGATACAACAAAATGAAAATGATGCAACAAAATGCAACAAGATGCAACAAGATGCAACAAAATGTATCGTAACACATTTGTTGCAACAAAGAGAAACAAAAACTGCATATAAAAATCATCACAAAATATGTATAATTCAATCTATTGTTACAATTTATTACATTTATTGATGACATCTATTGCTTTTGATTCTCCTCACTTCTTATTCCTTTTAAGTTGCACCTTAACACAACTTATGAAGTCTGTCTCCTCTATCTTCATTTTCCTTGTCAAACTTTCTCATCCTTACATCTTGATGTACTTTTTTATTATGTGCCTGCAATTGAGAATGCAATACTATGACACAAATAACGAATTGAATAAACTATTATGAGAAACCAATAAACTTAGATAACATAATAAGAAAAAGACATCCACAACTAGAAGATACAAAATAAGAAAAAAAAAGAATAAAATTGAACATTAACTCAGCCAATATATGAATAACTAATGAATAGGCACAAATTGTCTACTCTCAATCTTTGTAAAAAATCAATGGGACATTAAAAACAAAGAACTCCACATATCACATTCTGCCCAAAAATATATGATTTGGTGATACTTAACCAATAATGAGATAAGAATCTGTTATATAAGATTCATTCTGGAAAAAGCTACTAAACCTTGGAGAGATCTTCATTATCGTTGACATTGATATCAATATCAAATCAACCCTATATCTTGTTGGCAATGCATCCTAAATAATTGGGATAATTTGAGTTTGCACCCCATTTTATTGGTCAAATTAGACTTTGCACCCCGTTTTGTAAATCATTAGTATTTGCACCCCAACCCCTTATGAAAAGACAAAAATGCTCTTCAATCAAGAATATGTTGAAGACCAACAAAATTGTTAGTGGAGGGGCACTTTAGTGAGCATCCTAAATAAGCATTTATATTTCAACAAGTTAAACTATGCAACAACGGAAGCAGAGTTACCCTATCAAAGCTCAGTCGCTCAATTAGACTATCACAAACAATTTTAGCAAATCTCATCTCAAATAAGCATTTATATTTCAACAAGTTAAACTTTATAGGTCACTGCAATGAGGCAAAAAGATATCCAGTAACATATTAACACAATGAATTTGTTAACGGAGAACAAATTGATTTCCCTCAGGCCAACAGCCATATCATAGCAAAATGAATCAAGACTACTCCGGCCAACAAGCAGGGGCGGAGTTAGGGGAGGGCCAACCCTGGCCCTGGCCCAGCCCAAATTTTTAAAATGTCTAAATTTTCAGTGTAAAAAATTCCGTGTAATTTTTTTTCAAAAATATTCTTTGTATCAGCCCAGTCCGGCCCAGTGCCCTGGCTCCGCCCCTGCCAACAAGTAAGTAATATGGTCAGCAACTAATGTAGTCTGTAGTAATATGTCAAGTTTAAGAGTGAATCTTATTCCACACCTGCCTGCCAATCTATTAGCTTTTCTATTTGTTTGTGATGATGACACCTAGCTTTTCAGCCACAATTACGGTAATGGCTATATCCAGAAACATTGTGTGCTCAATCCACCTGCAAGCCTCAATATTGAATTGCT